CCAGGGAGAAGGTGGTGGTGGTGTGGATCAATAGTGTTGTCACTTCCCAATGTGAAAGTCGATGCAGCAATGCTCCTCACCTGTAAAATGAAATAATCGAAGGGAAAATGGGTGGATTGCAGTTAAAGCTTCATAAAAACCTGCTGTCAGTCAAATGAGATAAGGGGTTCAGCTTCTGAACCAAACTAATCCCTGGAGCTGGTTGTTGAGGCAGGTCAGTGGGGGCTTCTCAGTGTCACACCGTGCAGGGTTATAAACTCCTGCCAGCACCTCCCTGCAAAGGTGAAAACTGCAGTGCAAATTCAAAGACAGGAGGAGCCTTGGTAATGTTTCTTCCTCAGTAATTCCTGCTCTTTCTGGAACGGTGTATTTGAATACAATGCTGCACAGAATATTTAATACTCTCTGTAATTACAAATGGCTTTTAACAGTATGAGCCAAAACATTAGAGCTTAAATGTTCTTTTAGAAGTCGTAAGCAGCAACAGTATCATTAAACTAAAATCCATAATCTCTGATTTATGTGGATGTGGAAAGTCTGATGGGGCTCAGTCTTGGCTCTGGCGTTGAGCAGTGTGTGTTCAGCCATTCCTGCTTTGTTACTCACTTTGTTTATCATCCCTCTCCCCCCTTCAAGCCACTCTGACAAGTTACTCCGAAAATGTGGAACGCACTAAATATGGAGGGGAAAGCAGTAAAGAGCTTGGGTCTGGAGGAAACCTGAAACCTTGGCAGTCCCAGAAATCCAGCATGGACTCCTGCCTGTACCGTGTGGACGAGAACATGACGGCCTCCACCTACAGCCTCAACAAAATCCCCGAGAGGAACCTGGAGACCGTCCTGTCCCAGTCGGTGCAGTCCATCCCTCTTTACCTTATGCCACGGCCAAACTCAGTAGCAGGTAAGAAATCCACCTTTGTGCCTTTTTTTAGGTCAGGGCCAGACCCAGCACGTGGCACAAGCCCTTCTTGTGTCCTCCTTGTCCGAGGAGAAATCTCCTTTCTGGAGTCGTCGTCGTCGTTAAGAGTGACAAAAATTGTCTGTTCGTTTGACTTATTGCTTCCAAATGGAAAATTCCTGTGGGGAAAAGTGGTTCTGATGATGCTTAATGGTTATTTCAGCGGTTTGTGGTCCCTCTTCAGCAGTTTGTGGTCCCTCTCTTACAAAATTGTACAACTGAAAGATTATTGGAGAATATGTTTAAAAAGAAAAGATTCTTTGCTGCCATTCCAATGCAGATATCTCAGGTTTGAAGTGCCAAGGCATCACAGCCATTTCTACTATTTCAAAGGGTTCCTTGTGAGTAAAATCAAGTGTCTGATCTTCTCTGAAGATCCTAAGAGCTCTGGAGTTAAGAGAATGGTGGGACTTTCTGTCTACACAGGGTTGGCTCTGGGTCCCATCTCTCGTGGTGGCCTTTGCCCCAAACATCTCAGCACAGGGGTGTCCTCACACCTCACAGCACCTGGGACTTACTGATGAAGAAAACCTTTTGTCTTGGCATCAAATCAACATTATTTTAGTTTAAATTCGTGTCTGCTGTTTAAAACATTCCAAAATGATGCTGTGCCCTCCCTTATTGATGTCTTTTCCCAGCCTGCCCAGTGTCCCCCTGAAGCTGGTGACAGCAGGGCAGAAACAAGAGATGGGATTAAAAATATTAAAGCTGCTTGCCTGGAATTATTCCCCTTTCCTTTATTGCCCCATATTTTTTTTTTCTTGCTGTGTGACTCCTCTGGGATAAAACATTCTGGAATGTGTGTGTCTGTATAAACATGGGGAGAAATCCAGGCTTTGAATTCCGAGTCCCTGTGGATTCTCCCACTGCCTGGCAGCAGGGATGCTGCTCCAGAAAGTCCAGAGATGGTACTGAGAGATATCCCAGGATACTGCCTGTTAAATCAGCATCCCTTGGTGAACCAGGCTGTGTTGCATAACTGGATTAGGTTCCCTTTTTAATCCCACTTTGGCCAGTCACAGACCTGAAAGCGATGGAGAAATGAGATTTTAGAGATGCTGAAGTACAAACAGCCCGAGCATGGGGGTGCAGCACAGGCTGAAAACCTGCATTTCAGGCTGAAAACTTGCATTTCAGGCTGAAAACCTACATTTCAGAGTGGAAAGAGGGGATGGGAAAAACCTGGAAAGCTCTGCTTGCACAGAGCTGGTTACTTTAAAATAATTTCTCCTAAATAACGTGGTGCAAACACCTTCCAAAGCAAACAGAGTGGGTTGGGCACTGTGAATTTAAATACATGTGTGTTGGTTTAATTGACTTTCAGAGTTGTTGTCTTGCTTGGTGTGTTTGGAGGCAAATACTATTTGAAGAGAAAACTACCCAGCAAAGCTCAGGAACACCTTTTCCTTCTGGATTTTTTGTTTTTGGTGGAGTTTTTGCTGCTTTCTGTGTCAGCTTACACAATTCACATCCCACGATAAATCGTGGTAGTGTTCAAGTAGAATTCAAGATTTGCCTTAACCTTTTATCATCCAGTCCTCACATGTTGGCTCCTATAAGCTTGTGGCACCAGAAAATTATGGATTTAGGTAATGGATTCATATGGATGTTTCTCCCCAGGCCATTTAACCTCGTTATCTTTGTGCTTGAATGATGGGAAAGGGAAACCAGGTGTAGCTTCAGGGTTGATTTAAGCCCATGTGCAAATGTGCCATTGCCCAAAGAGTTAATCCTGAGCTGCCAATTCCATGTCCTTGCTCCAGCTCCACACATGGGATAACCACTTGATAAACCAGATCAGCTGACTAATCCAACTGAAAATGAACCCTCCAGAAAATTGGTATATTCGTTTATAACCTCAGGGTCATCAGCGTGGAGGCAAAGTGTGGCTGGGCAGAAAGCTGCCTTTCTTTTAGTGGCATTCCATGGTATTCCACATTTTAAGGTAATCACGAAATCACAGCTTTGCTAAAACAGGCTCTTCTTGTCTTATTTTTCTTGCCTCGTTTTTTTTTCAAATGCGGTTGAATTTGTGTACAAACAGTCTGTTCTTGGGAACCAAAGTGTGGCAGCTTTTTTCTCTTTTATTCTGTTTTTTTTTCTCTTTAAGATTCTCCCAGAATATCTTCCAAAACAGCACAAAAATGTTCTTTTTCACAGCAGCTCACAAAGAGCAGTCACTGAA